GTCTGTTGGAAAATAACAATTCTCAATCTAATAGAAGAAACCTTAGGGTAAAAACGAAAATAGCTTCAATCACCAGACTTCTGTTTTGTCCAACAACTCATCCTTAAAAAGGAAGCTGTAGTCGTCAATTACGTTACTTTTTAAGTTCGATTTCTGCCCGTGAATGAATACACTAATAAGTAAGAGAGAAGAAGAAGTGAAGAAAAATTAACGACGAGGTCTACACTCATATCGGTGTAACTGGAGAAAGGAATCCTGAAATAAAAGTACGAGCTTCAAAAATATTCTGATGTATTTCCTCTACCTTACGAATATGTAATTACTTCATTATTGCTTCGAAAGACAACTGTATCAACACCTAGCCGTCTGTTCGGATCAGGAAGTAAAAGGAAATAAAATGTGTTTGTACACGTTTTACGTTTGTGACTGAAGAGTGCAGGGGTGTAAGTACAAACATGTCTCATAAGTTAAAAGTACCTTGCTAAGTTTTTACGAAGCATAGCTGGCCTGAAGCCAAAGTTAAGGAGAGAAAATTGCTGGATCTCCTTGTAACCTGTCTGTACTTCTTTGGGGATGTCAATTATCATGTGTTATTAAATTCTTTTACTCACTTGGAGTCAGTAATGAATCAACTGTAAGTTGTTCAGTTGATGTGCCTTGCCGAGCTCTAAAACTTGTGTCTCGTCTTTTAGAAGCTAAAAAGATAGAAAGAAACTTTGTTTTAATATCACAGAAAACAACAATATGATAAAATGACTGATTACTATTCATGTTTAACATCTTTTTTATAGGTGTTTATGCTTTAAATCACAGGTAATACAAGACCGAAACCAGAGTAGCCCCCTAAATCACTTTTTGAAGGATATTCAAAACATTCTCACCATGAACTATGTCCCACATCTTCTCCACAAGACTGTCACAATGTTTCTCCCAGCTAAACTTCTCTTCATATGAACTCCTCAGTTGCTGAATATCTTGAAGTCGATCTGATCTCTCCTTCTGTCGGACACCAGCAATTGCCTTTGCCCACTCCCCTGGGTCCTCAGACTCCACCACGAATGATTTGCCTGATGGCACAGTGCACAGTGCTTCACCAAATCCTGAGTTTCCACTGACAAGAATGGGAAGACCAGCAGACAACGCTTCTAACGCTGTCAAACCAAAACCCTCTGTTCTAGAGGGCATGATGCAGAGATCAACTTCACAAAATAATTCTTTCAATCTCTCTTTGCTGTGCACAAACTTCCTCACGGTCAGCTGGTTTTTATCAATTCCACTCTTCAGCAAATTCGCTGCAACCTCATCCTGTTTACCGTCAGGTGCACCCACGAAGATGAGACAGTAAGACCTGTCTTTTAGTTCAACTATTGCTCTGGCAGAGATATCGTAACCTTTAAGGCTAAAGTCCTCTGGGTCACCACGGCCAAACGTCAGTACCTTAAACTTGTTACTCTCCTTTGAGGCTTGTTTTACGTCAGAGAACTCACGGAAAGTTCCAGGAGTCAGTTGAAGGATGTCGTTTTCACTCTTGCATGAGCGGAGCTGAGCGGAGAAAGCGTCTGTTAGCTTTGGTCCGACTGCTAGCACAGCATCTGCCAACTTACACAAAGTCACTTCAGTTAAATTCTTCTCTTCACCTTTAGAAATAGCCTTGGGATAGTTTTTGTGCATTGCAAGTTCTTCGGGCGCAGTGTGCACTACCTGTATCCACTTGCACTGGTGCGATTCTCTAAAGAATTGAGCTTGTTTACCAAGCTTTGCTCCATGACCCAGCACTATGTCAATGTCCAGATCTCTCGGTGGGGCACTCAGCCAGTCAAGGGAG